TAGCAACCAACCAAAATACCTTAGCAAATGCAATGGCACCCGCAAACACTTAAAGCAACTTTACAACCACAAACCTCACAGTAAATATTAGCAACTGCATAGCAATGTCCTTGCAACAACCTAGCAGACGTTAACAGCTGTATAGCAATACCATAGCAACAGCTCAATACACGTTGCAACCACATAGCAATAGAACTGCATAGAAACTGCATGGAAACAATCTGGCAACTACTTAGAACACCTTAACAACTACAAAAAAAACCCCACCATAGCAACCTCTCAAAGTGCATTAATAACTGTATAGTAAAGCCCTATAAACCACCCAGAAATGTTCGCATAGTTTCTTAGCAATGTGCTAAGGAACTATGCAAAACAACAACAGTCCAGTACACCGAACAACCACATTGCAATGTGCATAGAACAACATAAGAACTGCATACCAATATCCTAAAAAACACCCAGAACCCCTTAACAACTGCATAGCAACATCATAGCAACCACCTAGAACACCTTAATAACTGCATATCAACACCACAGCAACCACTCAGAACAGCTTAGCAACCACAAGCATTGTGCTAAAGAATTATGCAAAACACTTTAAAATTGCTTATAGCAATGCCATAGCAACCACTCAGAACACTGTTAGGAACCACAAGCAATGTGCTAAGAAACTACACAAAACAACAACAGCCGAGTGAACCTAACAACCACATTGCAATGTGCATATAACACCTAAGAACTGCATACCAATGTCCTAAAAATCACCCAGAACCCCTTAACAACTGCATAGCAACACTGTAGCAACCACCCAGAACACATTAATAACATCATAGCAACACCATAGCAACCACTCAGAACACCTTAGCAACTGCATAGCTACTCACTAATCACCCACAACACATTAGCAGTCATATAGCAATGTAATAAAACACTCAAAACACCACAGCAGTCCCTCAGAATAACCTTGTAACCACATTGCAAGCCCTCAAAAAAATATTAGTAACCATATATGAATGCCCTTGTATAAACCCAGAATGCCATAGCTACCCCAAAGAATTTTTTTTTTTTTTTTTTTTTTTTTTTTTTTTTTTATTTAACTCCACTTAGCAACCACTTTATAAAGCAGGAGCAGCCGGCCACAATACCCTGGGAACCACATAGCCTCTCAATCACATTTTTACATTGTCACCACTCACATTTTCTTCAGAAAACATGAAAATCTAGTTTACCACTTCACCACTATATTCTTCTCCTCTTTTATATGTCTGTAATTGCTCCCTAATGGTAGCATTGTAGCATTCAGGATTTTTCTATTAATGATCACTCAGTTGTCCATAATTGGATCATATTGATCCCTTTTATTTTGAGTATCATAATGGTCCTATGATGGCGCTGTTATCCTCTCTCTCTCTCTCTCTCTCTCTCTCTCTCTCTCTCTCTCTCTCTCTCTCTCTCTCTCTCTCTCTCTCTCTCTCTCTCTCTCTCTCTCTCTCTCTCTCTCTCTCTCTCTCTCTCTCTCTCTCTCTCTCTCTCTCTCTCTTTCATCTCTTTCTGTTTGTCCCTGCTTTTGAATAATTCCTCTCCGCCGAAATGGGTGAAATTGTGCAGAACACAAGGCCTGTGCAATGATTATCCTGATGGATAGTACAACGATGAGATGAGTCATATGCTGTTGCTGATGGAAGTTCTTCGACTTACTCCCTTCTCCCATAAGCCTTTTCCCGAATCTGACACATCACTTTGCCAAGATTTGTGGCCACAGATTCAAATCAAGGTGGAGGGATATTTTCCTTTTATTCCCCCTTGCCATGAGAACAGATGAGATGAGTGGTCAAGCAAATGGTTTTTTTTTCATCTCCTTTCTCTCTCTGTTGGTTGAGTATTGAAGTGCTTTAGGGGGTACATCTGTTTTGCTCTATGACTTGGATGCTTGGATGATTGTCAAAATCAAATCAAATACATATGCAAAAATCTAGTGGAAGGGGCATTAAACAGGGATATTAGAAAGTGTTTTAAAATGGTGTTCTTTTATAATTTCAAAACACTTTAGTGAGAAACCCTGTACCAAAAAATAAATATACACACACATTTAGATTCTATCCAAGGTGCATCCTTTCCTTTGAATCTTTACTGTTCATCTCAATGACACGACGTGAATGTGAGACCATTGATAATGATGTAACATTCAAGCAATCTATGCAATGCCATCTTTTTAGTCTGAGCTTTAAATGGTCATTTTTTTAAATCAACTCTTCATGTTTGATGTCGTCCTGTGAAGTGCAAACCCAAACAGCCTCCCTGAGATGTTTGATGTGCCAGATTTGAGCCCCACTGGCTCAGAAAGATTTGCTGACAGCCACCTTATTATTCCAGACACGATTCTATTCTAGATGGCAAATTTCAGGGCCATCAAACTACATCAAAGAACATAGACATCCACACCTTAGCAGTGAAAGAAGGTGCTTTTGCTTTTACTTGTCCCAATTGCATGGAGATGCATCCGTTTCATTGCTTAACACACGAGTTGCTTGAGGCATGATGCAAAGATAAGCACTTAAACCAATAATTCAATAATTTTAATCCCATTTAAAGATGCAGTCGTATCTAGTGTTGTTTGGTGAATTTTCTCTGGGAAAACCAAGTCATTTCAGTAGGAATCCACTGCATTTGGAATTGTCCATGAAAGATTTCACCATGCAGATTTAGGTTGGTGATCGGGTTCAGTTGGTCATGAAAATTCGTAACATTGACAGGCTACTTTGGTTTGAAATGGACTTGCGTGCTGTGCTTCATACATCACTACACTACACTTTTGCCCTCAAAATGTTGCAAATGAAACGTTCAAATGTCATTTCTCTTTTACTTCATAGGGTTCTTAAAAGTTGAATTGCTAAAACTTTTATTGTATAAGATGTGTAGACAAGTGTTATTTCTAAGAGAAATGACTCAACCCTGTTTATATTACATAATATGTCATGTCTAGCATAGGGATGTCCATAATATTCCAAGTACTTGTCAAGGAACTGTATGCATTCAGTCTAATCGAGAAAGGCATGTTTTGAATAATTTTTCTCAGAGTTTTAAACATTTCCCATATGCATTATGTCCGCGGGCACATCATTACGCAGAGACAGCTTTGAAAGTTTTCCATCTTTCACTGTGAAAAGAGAACCGAGAATGTAAAAAGTCAAATTTGAAGAGCTTTCTGACTTTTGAATACTCTGTGGAGAATGTGTCATATCAGATAAACGTGAAAGAGGAGAATATTCCGTTTTAATGGGCAAAAACTGAACAATTCATTGGCGTGAATTGTCTTCTGATCAGTCGAGTGCAAAACAGAGAAAAGAGCTTTAGTTTCTGTCAAGTTTAATCCTCTTTAAGGAATACAGAAAGATTTCTGCAGTACTTCTGACTTCTGTTTGCAAGGGTTGAATTTTTGCACAGCTTAGACCAGTGTTTCCCAACCCTGTTCCTGGAGGGACACCAACACTACACATTTTCCAACTCTTCCTAATCGATCACACCTGAATCAACTTATCAGCTCGTTAGTAGAGACTCCAAGACCAGAAATATATGGGTCAGAAAAGGGAGACATCCAAAATGTGCACTGTTGGTGTGTGCCTCAAGGAGCAGGGTTGGGAAACACTGGCTTAGACCATTAGGACATGCACTGAGAAATAAGAGCTTTGTTCTATTAAGATATTATTGATTTGGCTTATCATATCACTTGTTTCGTTGTATGGTTGTATAAAGTATTATCTAACATATAAATAAATGAGCATGATAAATAGGTTGTTTTAAATACATTCTTTCACACCTGAGGTATTGAACTTTTCGATGATATATTCAACAGTTAAAATAATACAACTTTATATTTTATTAGAACAATCTGATATGAACTGATACAGTATTTAATTTGTATGACCAACAACATAATATTTAGATGTATCCTACATTTTGCATGCAACCATTTTACCTCATGACTTCCTCTCTAAATAAAAATTTAAACATTGACTATACATTGCACCTTTTAACCCTATCATTATTTGTCTTTAATTTGTGGAAAATATTTCCCATCATATACCAACCAACATTTAGTCTCAAAAGCTTTGTTGCCATCCATTTTTTTTTTAAATTTCATTAAAACAGTAACATATTTACCATAGATTTAGAGGGAGATAAAGATGAATATCATCAGCCTAAATATGGTAGGATTTATTGTGTTTTGGACAAATGTGAGCCAATGGAAGCATATATAAAGAAAATAAACTGGGCCCAACATATAGCCTTGTGGAACACCTCAAGTAATAGATTCAGGGGAAATAGGATTCAATAGGAAACCATTTCCCAATTCTACAGAGAAAGTTCTTACATTAAAATAGGAAGGAAACCAATCAAAAAGTTCCTTAAATTCCTGCCCATTGTCATGAATTTACCAGCAAAATTGCATGAACTGCACACTTTCCTAACTCATCAGCCAGCAACAGGTTGTGACACACCTCACGACTCTGACTCTGTGCTGTGAAGTGCTCTGAACCCAGATTGCAATTTATCAAAAATGCCATTTCAATTAAAATTAAAAGATGATAAACAACCTTTTCTAGGATTTTTGATTAAAAAAAGGACAGTTTTGAGATCAGTTCGATAATTATTTAGCACTGTCGGATCCAGATTTTTCATTTTTAGAAGAGGTTGCACCACAGCATGTTTAAAGCAGAATGTCACGATACCACTTAATAATTCTGATGTTTATTTAATGTTAATTACTTTGAAAAAAAAGGTGGTTTATTACCTTCAATGAAATGAAAACAGTTGATAATCTATTTAATTTGACCTCTTGAGATTCTTTTGATGGTTAAGCACCTCTTTTCAAAAAGAAAACCAACGGCTTTTTGACTGTGATTATGACTAATTTGCCTGAATGTTTCATTGCTTAATTTTACCCATGAATCAGAAAAGCTAAATGATCGTGTTTTCTGTTCTTCTTTCCCTCCTCGCAGAAGAAGTCAGTGATAGTGACCAGTCTGATTGTGGTGGTGTCTCTGTTTTTGGTGGTGATTAATTACTCAGAGAAACCCTACTTCCTGCTGCAGCCTGTTTTCGGCCAGAGCTTCAGTAGAAACTGGATGTTCTCTCGGCCACCGCATAAAGCCTTCAAACCCCACCGCGGCTACCTCAGCGTCCCCAACCAGGAGGTGAGACTAGAGCACACTTAAAATATTTAGTGATTTGTCCTTGCTTTACACTTTTGAGCTGCATTATATTTCAAATGGTACAAACTGGCTTGTCTTGCAGTCAAAGCTGCATAAAAATACTGTACATTTCACTTATTTCACCAATTCAACTGCACTGAAAAATTAAATTGGATTTGAAACAATTTTCACTCAGAAATAGCTTGTAAATTTAATTAGAAACGGCAAGTAACATTTCATTAAACAGTTTATTAAAGTAGAAAGAGACTTTGTGCTATTCTGCTTGCCTTGAAGCAATGAAATGTGGAAACGTGAATTTCATTTTGTTTTGTTGCAATGACCGTCACTTTGTTTCAAAAGTTGGAAGGTGGATTTAAAAAAATATATATTGTGGTTCATAAATATTTAATTTAATTGCACTATGGTCAGTCATATAATTCTCAATATACTTTGTAAATGAATAGCAGGTAATGAGTTGCTCATGCTGAGAGTTTTCATAGGTGGTGACTTTTTCCACTTAAAGGGTTTCCAAAAATATATGTTTTTTTGTGCTAATGAGTTGGTTGTTAAGACTGAATTCTAGTACTAGCATACATATTTATGAGGAGGTTAACAATAGTTTTAGTCTATTTTGCCTCAAGATGTTTTCAAGGATCTGTGGATGATGAAAGAATCTGTAGAAGTGAAGTTTTGCCAAGTCATCTATCCCATATTCAAGGTCATTGAAGAGTTTTCCCCACGCACAGATGAGGCTTTGACTCATAACTGCCAAGTTCATGTAGTTTCAACTGCTCAGGTGATTTACTGCCACAATTAGCGCTGAGAGGCAGGCTTGTTCTCCTACTTACAAAAGAACAAACAAAATTACTAAAGAAATTAGAGGAAGTTAATAAATTGAATTTATTGTTCCTGTCTGGTCTCTTAAAAGCATCCAGCTTTTTGAAAGCAATTTAGTATACATGAAATGCATCAGGAGGGTTGGAATTATTTAGTTGTTTGTCCTTTTGTGCTGATTTATGCACAAAAACAGGGGCAGAGAAGGTCCTAATACTAATGCTGTGTTTGAATACTTTGGTCAAGGTTACAAAGTGCTGCTACAACAGTCATGCCTGAATGAAAGATTTTTTAGTTGCTGAGCAGCCTCTCTAACCTCCAACTAATTGAGCTCTTTCACAAGTCACACAACTCTCCACACCCAAAAAAACCCTGTTTATTTTAGACCATAGAAAACCAGAATGAAAATATTATTAATAACTAAAGCTGCTTGAAATCTACACCGCTGTAATTTCACAGAAAACACCTGCGATTTCACCACAGATTGCTACAAGGCAATTTTGAAACGCTTCAGTGAATCAAATCTTAGTGAAATGGGCTTTATTATACAATGTTTTTTTATTATTATTATTATCCTTGACTGCTCTAAATTAAACTTACTTTTCTCTTGAAAATAACTCTTTGAAATAATAATCTTGAAAACTTTTGAATGTTGATAGTTTTTAAAGTGTCACATCAACTTTTTTATTGTTACTTGTGTAGTGAACAATTCTCTCTGCCTGTCTTTGTGTGTGTGTAATAATGTGTAAAAAAAACAAAACAAGCAAGCCCAGCCCAGGTGAGAAAAAGTAACGCAACGTACTTTTTTAGGGAGCAACGCAATTTTATACTGCATTACTTTTCAAAGTAACTTTCCCCCAACACTGTTCATGATAATACCGTATAGCGTGATAAAAGCTTCAGCAATTATCGCAACATGAAAACCATCACAACACTATTAGCTATTTTGACAATAATGGCTGTATGTTGAGTTATTTTCAGAGGACAGTAAATATATACCGCTATACAAGCAGCACACTGACCACTCTAAAATATATACAAGTTTCATTTCTATAGTATTGTCCCTTGAGAAGATATACTAAAATGGTTGCTGAAATGTGAAGGGTGTACTCACTTTTGTGAGATACTGTATATATATATATATATATATATATATATATATATATACACTCACCTAAAGGATTATTAGGAACACCTGTTCAATTTCTCATTAATGCAATTATCTAATCAACCAATCACATGGCAGTTGCTTCAATGCATTTAGGGGTGTGGTCCTGGTCAAGACAATCTCCTGAACTCCAAACTGAATGTCAAAATGGGAAAGAAAGGTGATTTAAGCAATTTTGAGCGTTGGTGCCAGACGGGCCGGTCTGAGTATTTCACAATCTGCTCAGTTACTGGGATTTTCACACACAACCATTTCTAGGGTTTACAAAGAATGGTGTGAAAAGGGAAAAACATCCAGTATGCGGCAGTCCTGTGGGCGAAAATGCCTTGTTGATGCTAGAGGTCAGAGGAGAATGGGCCGACTGATTCAAGCTGATAGAAGAGCAACTTTGACTGAAATAACCACTCGTTACAACCGAGGTATGCAGCAAAGCATTTGTGAAGCCACAACACGCACAACCTTGAGGCGGATGGGCTACAACAGCAGAAGACCCCACCAGGTACCACTCATCTCCACTACAAATAGGAAAAAGAGGCTACAATTGGCAAGAGCTCACCAAACTTGGACAGTTGAAGACTGGAAAAATGTTGCCTGGTCTGATGAGTCTCGATTTCTGTTGAGACATTCAGATGGTAGAGTCAGAATTTGGCGTAAACAGAATGAGAACATGGATCCATCATGTCTAGTTACCACTGTGCAGGCTGGTGGTGGAGGTGTAATGGTGTGGGGGATGTTTTCTTGGCACACTTTAGGCCCCTTAGTGCCAATTGGGCATCGTTTAAATGCCACGGCCTACCTGAGCATTGTTTCTGACCATGTCCATCCCTTTATGGCCACCATGTACCCATCCTCTGATGGCTACTTCCAGCAGGATAATGCACCATGTCACAAAGCTCGAATCATTTCAAATTGGTTTCTTGAACATGACAATGAGTTCACTGTACTAAAATGGCCCCCACAGTCACCAGATCTCAACCCAATAGAGCATCTTTGGGATGTGGTGGAACGGGAGCTTCGTGCCCTGGATGTGCATCCCACAAATCTCCATCAACTGCAATATGGTATCCTATCAATATGGGCCAACATTTCTAAAGAATGCTTTCAGCACCTTATTGAATCAATGCCACGTAGAATTAAGGCAGTTCTGAAGGCGAAAGGGGGTCAAACACAGTATTAGTATGGTGTTCCTAATAATCCTTTAGGTGAGTGTATATAGGTAGAGATAGTGAAGCTAAACATTTCTTGATCTTTTGATCTTTTAGTACTTTATACTTTTACTGTAGCCCCCCCCCTTTTTTTACATTTACAAAACTGGCACCCTAACAGACATAAAAAAAATACATATTCAAGGCATTCCTTCACCGACACGTTCCTTCACCTTATCCTTATGATTTTTTTTTGTATTTGACATTTTTTGGTACTCATAAATAGAACTTAGACACCGGCTGTATGTTCTGGTCTGAAATGATGGAGTGTGGGCGTTGTAGTCAAGCGTCTCACATTCACAGTGGAGCAGGCTTACCTGTCAGATCAGTGTCTGTCTGTCAGCTCAGAGCGAGATGAATGCCTCTCATCTCCCTGCTGATGTTATTGTCAATACTTTGCTCTGAACTTCTGCCATACAGTGAAATAAATTAGGTAGGTAAGTTTGTTCCAGCACTCCTATCATTATTCATTGAAATCAAGGCATCTGCTGTAGTATTAGTCTAGCACTAGGTTAGAATTTCATATTAAGTGTGCAACCCAAATTCCACTTTTATTTTTTAATGTTATACTTTCTATTCCCTGTAATATTTTGGTGATAACATATTCTGGATATTGGCAAAAAAACTGAATTTCATTAATCCTGTGTTAAAATTTTTCAAACTTTTCCACTTTATAAAATGGCTGTGAAATTTAAAAAATGTGCAAAATGTGTCTCTGTTTTAATACTTATTGAAGCAGACTGTTTAAGGAGGTATTTCAATTTCACCTGGTTTGATGTGCCAATAGTTTCTTTTAATTAATTTCTCTTTTAATGATTTGCTACATTAAACTTTGATCATGACTGTGTCTGACAGACTATGTCTGTCTGTTGGCTTAAGTTAAATTGGACCTTCTGACATCAACAGAGACACAGAGCACATTTTTAAGATGATATTTAGCTATTGTTTAAATTCCTGTATTTCTAAAGGGATATCAACATTGTCACAATTTACTCACCCTCATGATGTTGCTAAATCTTTATTTTTGTGCAAACTGTCCCTTTAATACTCTTTAGGATTTTACTCTTTGGACATAATCATTTAAGTTTGGTTTAACTTTAACTTTTTTCCCACCATTGACCATTGATGGCTGTCAGGGACCAAGCAGTTAAGCAAGAGGAGTCACAAGGGAAGTTCCAAAAGTAAGGGTTTTTATTTCCCATAAATCATTACAACAAAAATAAAGATAAAGGTTTGGGCCCATAAAAGAGGTCAAATAAACAGACGGTAAATAAAGCTTTGAACGTAACAGACTCAAAAAACACAACTGACCTTTCAACAAAAGAAACAAAGGGGACTTATATATTGGCTGACCAAACCAATTGACACACAAGGGAAGACTAACAACAACACTACTACATAAACTACAAATAACAACAAAACCTACCTAAAAACTTATTCCAAAAGAAATATGCTTTTACTTATCCTCAACTAAACAAAAATACTCAATATAATATAAATCTAACCCCCATAATATCTAAACAGAGAATAAAGCAACCCCCCCAGACATAACAAGCAGTGGTAGGGTCCAATTAGGCCACCTCCCCTATAAAGCTGCTCCTGCTCCAAACGCCACCCCTTTAAGCCAGCCGACTTCCTGAATCTCTCCCGGGTGTGGAATCCAACACTGGTAAGCTCAGAAACAAAATAATTATAGAAACAGAATGGCAATCCAAAAGTAACTAATGTTGCGTGCTCCCAAAAAGATACTTAAATATGATCAACTAAATAAAGTATAATGTGTGTGAAATGAACTA